AATGGGAGTGTATATGTATAGATGCTTTTTTAGTCAGTTGGAGCAGAGTTGTGATCATTGGTATCATCATGTATGCATTTTCATGTTTATTCATATTTTCTACCCGTAGTCTCCCTAATTAGCACACAATGTAATTAATGAGGGGAGTTGAATTTAGACACAAGTAAGCCAAATCTAAAGCCACAGCTCAAATGACAATCTCCCCTGCTCGTCTGCAGGTTTGCTTTCAATCAACCACGCACAACGCACAGTCTCCGTTTTCCAGCCTTGGGTTGTGGAGCGGCAATTATAGCCAATATTTTGGTTTCGCAAAAGCTCGTCCTTCGGCCGAGCATATTGCGACTGACGCCGGTAGAAAGTGCTCAATTGCATAAGTGATCATCTGTGGTTGTGTGATGAGTATGCATGCATGTACAACCGAATAAATGGATACAGCAAAGCTTGGTAGTTGTGTCACAAAAGCAGTTCATCACAAAGTCCTGCTGGCGTAACCAAACAGACGAATGAATAAACGTTTCAATGATAACTAGACAGGAGAATAGAGCCAACGAATGTATGGACAAACAGACCAAACCAGACCAAACCAGACCAGACCAGACCAGACTGGCATGGAATCATGCAGACTTGCTGACGAATTGACGGACAAATGCAGCAACATGCAAAAGGGCGGGAAGAAGGCTCTGGCGTCAGGGTACAGAGAGCTGTCTTATCATCTACACCCAAAAGGCCTTGTTCTTCTGTCTCACCTCTTCTCTCCCTCACTCAAAGAAATGCGCTCACAAGCTTTTCCGCCTGCCTGCCCTCCAAGTTCGTCTCCAGGGCCAGAGGTGGTAAAGACGAGATAAGCCGACATCTAGGCCTAGGCGCAGTCACTACGACACCGTCCCGCCATACATCACTGTCCTAAAATGTCGTCATTGCCAGCCTATCCCCATAAATCATTCTCCCGCACCCTCACGCCCGTCTTAACGATATCATCACAGCTAATCAGGCTGCAGAGCTGGACCGAAATGTATACATTCTGATTCTGCCCTGACCAGTTTAATCTACCTATTTAATACACATTTATATACCCGTGTTTGCCTATCTTTCATCTTTTCTCTATGAATAAACGCATAGATATAGTACACTGCCGTCAAAGGCACCAGTAATGAAAGTGAGGATACAAGTAAAAACACGCGGTTGTTAACCCCCCATCCCATTTGTGCTGGCGGGACTAGAGCTGGGGATGGTGTTGGGATTGTAGCAGAACAAGGGCGTGTGACAACGAAATGACACAGAGTAAACAACACGTTTTCATGGGGTGTCCTCAATACTCGTCAAGAGATGTCGTGAGATGTGTGGCGATGGTGGGAGAGAGCATGCGACAGGACATGGAGGAATGTGAGAAGATGTCCAATGCGCAGAGATCGATGGGGTGGGAATCGGTTGGGGTGATCCGTGGGGTAAAAGGTGTGCAAGACCGACAACAATGATAAGCGTCCACCGCCATTTACACACAATTTCCACACTGTTGGCCGCAACTTTTTTGGGCCTGTTGACCAAGTGGAGCCAACAGTCAAGGCGGGTGCTAAACCGATGTGACGGCACCGACGAGAAGCTGTTGCAGACAGTCAGCTGATTGACTACAGAGAAGCAAGTTGGAAAACTTGCAGACAGTCCCTTGTACCTGCCAGCTCGTCACCATTCTGACCCTGCCCAGTCCGACCGAGACCAAGACCACCGGGCCTCCAGCATTCTGCTCCACTCTCCCCAAGCGCCGGTTATCGCTGGCACATCGTTGTGATGCCGTGATGCTGCAGCCTCATTAGAGTATGAAGTTCAAGCCCCTCACGCCTCGTTAAAACTGTAGAGCCGGTAAAAGTCACCTTTGTCCTTTGCTCGTGCACTTTTCTTCTCTGCGAACACAATTTCTCAAAGCAATTTATTAGCAATAGTTAGCCCTGCACTTGACTCAGTTTAGTTGTAAAGACAAACAAATGCCACACTTCTACCTGTCCGCTCGGGTGAATAGGCTGAGTTTTTGTGATTTTGCACAGGTTGGTGTGTATGTCAGAGTAGATAATCAGCGATCCAAATGGCCTCTGACGGACAACCGGCGAGTCGGCTGAAACAAGCGGTAAGAAGATAGTCTCTCGGTCGGCCAACGGCGATGCGCATGTCTTATCAAGACGAAAAGTTGTAGGATGAAAGGTCACACAGCAAAGTGACCATATCCATGTCTGCTTCAATTATTGCCTTGACAGGGTGCTGTTTTTCTACATAATCACAAGCCGCCTGGGCGTCCGACAAGGAAAAGCTGATGTACATGACTTGCCAAATTGACTTATTGTTGTCGAGGTGTGCCATTTCCGACTGGGCTCTTATTGGACTGAGAGTGAGCCTGAACACGAGTGTCAGTTGAAATTTTGGCGGCGTTGACATGCATTTCAAAATGCCTCCGTCTAGGCCGACGCCTCATCAGTTCAATAGGAAGAATCCTTCCCCCAGTAGCCCTGATACCAAAACATATACACGAGGAGTAACTTAGTTTCGATGAAACTGTGAAGACTTTATTTCTTATTTAAAGTACATGCTTAAGAGATCCATTGGTTGGTCTGATCGGAAAACGACGGCCGATTCCCATTGCCTTGCAGCCGTTTGGATTTACTTCACCGTTCGGGTTGACACAGTCTACGAGACTTCCTCCCTCGTTTCTGGTGAAACTGAACTGAGCTTCCGTCCTTTAGATTAAGGAGAGCATAAAACTGGAACTTATCTTTGCAAAAGTTTCAAGTTATCTCTAAGTCAAGAATACTACCCGGCTCTATCCGACTTGCCATAAATACTCAGTGAAAAGTATAAAGATATAGATCGATATCGAATATATGAAGACCAAGATGTTGTGGCCTGTGGTATGGTCGCAGTCTCCTTTCGATTTATAGAAATGGGTTGACCTCGTTGTCGCAACTTGGTATTGTTGTCAGGGGAACTTAGTAAAACGCACCTAGTCCGAAGTCGCCTGCCATAGTAGTTGTCATGATCCCCAGCATCAGACAGTGGACTTGGTACATTCTCAAACGTTTCGCCGG